CCACCTCCTCCTTGCTGACAACCATCAGTTTGTTCTCTGTATTTATAGGTCTAATTCTACTTTTTGTTTTGTTTCCCTTTGTTTTGTTTCTTAGATTCCACATATAAAATGAAATCATATGGTATTTGTCTTTCTCTGTCTGACTTATTTCACTTAGCATAATATCCTCTAGGTCTATTCATGATGTTGCAAATGGCAAGATCTCATCCGTTTTCATGGCTGAGTAATAGTCCATATATACACCACACCTTCTTTATCCATTCATCTATGGATAGACACTTGGGGTGCTTCCATATCTTGGATATTGTAAATAATGCTGCAATAAACATAGAGGTACATATATCTTTCCAAATTAGTGTTTTCATTTTCTTGGGGTAAATACCTATAGTGGAATTACTGGATCATATGGTATTTCTATTTTTAATCTCAATAATCATCAGGGAAATGCAAATCAAAACCACAATAAGATATCACCTTACACCTGTCAGAATGGTCTAAGACGGGGCAACTGGGTGGCTCAGTTGGGTAGGCGACTGCCATCAGCTCAGGTCATGATCCTAGAGTCCTGGGATCAAGTCCCACATCAGGCTCCCTGCTCAGCGGGGAGTCTGCTTCTCCCTCTGACCCTACCCCTTCTCATGCTCTCTCTCTCTCTCAAATAAATAAATAAAAATCTTAAAAAAAAAAAAGAATGGTGTAAGACAAGAAATAAAAAATGTTGGCAAGAATGTAGAGAAAAAGGAATTCTCATGCACTGTTGGTGGGAATGCAAACTGGTACAACCACTCTGGAAAACAATATGGAGGTTTCTCAAAAAATCAAAAATAGAATTCATAAATGTTTTCTGAACTTAATGGATCAAAACTGACTTCTTGCTATGATTATTATGATACTACTCTCGGCTGGAGAAAATTGTCTTGTTTATTGTTTTGCCTTTTCAAATTCTAGCTGCTTGCTCTTCTACTCTCATCTCTTTGAAGTTTTGTCCTACTATTCTGTCTACACTGATCTCTCTCTCTCTCTCTCTTTATTTTGAGCAGGTGGACTCCTAGGACACCTTTTTTTCTTTAATTACTCTATAATACTTTATATTTTTAATCTTACATAATTTAGATATATCTTTACTTCAATCTAACAAGAGATGAATGGATGGGACATTACTGCAAATTAAGTAGTTATGCAATGAACTAAAGGAATACAAAAATCAAATGGCAAAATTACAAATATTAAACAGAATTTGAGATAAGATTTCCTCAGAGAGAAGAGTTTTTACAGTGTACCTCTCATGTGCTGTAGAAATGGGTGATTTATATGACTCACATGTTATATTTTACTAGCATCTGTTTATGTTTTAGTTCCAGTGACTTTACTAAAACTACAGAAAAATGTGATACACAAATGATTCCTATGATAAATGTAGAAAAAAATCCTATTTAATATTCATAAAAGTAATTATACTTTCTCTAAAAGTTTTCAGAATTGACCTAATTTTGTTAAGATGAAATCTTTACAGAAGTAGTGCCATTTTCTAAAGGTTTCTTTTCTTTTTTTTACCAAACATTAAAATATCTTTTGATAGTGTAAGTTGAATTTTTCTAGTATTAGAAAAGTCTAGGTTCAATTGCTTTTAAATCACTTATATAAGTCCAATGAGAGAAAATCTTTTAATAAAACTATTTCCTCCATTTCCACTAATTTTGTTACTTTTCTATTTTCCTTTTGTCTGAAATATGTGAATCTGGAATGAACTAGATCACAGTTTAGTTGGTTTTGGACTTGTTAGGACATTTGTATTATATATTTTTAAATGTCTTGAATATATATGCCTTCCAAGGCTCTGTTTCCAAAAATTCACTCTCTTCCTTAGACTCACATGCACTATTTCCCAAAATTTCACTCTCTTCCTTAGACTCACATGCACTAGTTCCCAAAATTTCAACATGATGCTACCAAAGAGGGGCAGAGTTTGCTTGAGACTCAGTGCTCAAACGTCACTTCTTTATCCTCATCAAGCAGTTATTACTCTGGGCATACTGCTGCGCATGTAAGACTCTGTGTTAGGGAGACTCCAGGGATATATAGTTATAAGCTATGGTTCCTGCTCCATAGAGCAGGGAAAAAGTGAAACGGTGATTTGTAGTCCAGTAAAAAGTGCTGCAGGAGTTCCATGGAGGAAGTGATTACATGGTTTTTATGAGGGGGAATTGGAATGGTGCTCAGTGGTAGGGTCTAGATGAGCAGAGCGGGAGGAGACACATCTGGGGAGAAAAATAAGCTTACAGACATCCTGGAATAAGTGTGCTGCAGTCAAGAGCTAAACAACAAGCCCTTTGGTTTGGGGTAAAGCTAGAGCATAGGAGACAGGTGAGAAAAACACAGCCAGGGCCAGATCATGGAGGCATTAAGCACACACTCTTGGAGTCTGGACTTTATTCTTGGACAATGAGGAGTCACTTTGGCTGAGAAGAGGCACGTACAACATGGCATTTCAGATTGGAAGTTTATGGGGCTGAGCCGCATACAGTGTATGGGACAAGGGGACATTTGGAAGCAGAAGGTTCCACAGGAGATTATTTTGCAATAGTATAGAGAGTCAGAACTGAATAGAAGTAGAGAAATGAGAAGGAAGGAGTAGGCTACAAGAGACACAGCAAAAGAGAAATCCACTGGCCTAGCTGACTGACTCAGTATTGGGGGAGAGAGAAAAAGAGCTAAGGGCCCTACTTCTCAAGCCTCTTTTGGACTCTTCCTCCTATTAGACATCAATTAATTTGGCTTTTGAGGACTAACATCTCCTTGCTTTCCTGTGGACTCACCCCCAGTCACTTCACTGATGGGTGCAATCCAGTCCTTGCAATCCCTTCCCTCAGGAATCTGGAATTAGGCCTGACAACTAGAGAGTGGTCTCTCTCTGAGGTGTTGGCTGTGTCCATTTTCTTCCATGTGAACTGGGAAGCTCAAAATGCTGCTTTACAGTAAGAGAAGAAAAGGAAACAGAAGTTAAAAAAAAAAAAAGATGAGAGATGGAGAATAAAAGCTAGGTCTGGGTTCCCTGGTGTACTTTAGTCTGTGTTTTCATGTGTCCCTAAAATATAACTGCATCCCTCCTCTTTAATTCTGTAGGACATCCTTATATTGCAGTAATACATTCCCTCCTTTGATTAAGCTAGCTTGGCAGGGTTATTGTTACTTGCTGCCAAAATGGTCAAAACTGATATATTCCTCAGCACGAACTCTCCGTTTTCAGTCACTTGGTGCTCTGGCTACTCTCTGAACACTTGAACACTTTGCTAACTCCACATGTTCATGCCACTTCCTTCATCTAGAATGCCTTCCCCTTCCCAATCCTGCTGACTCTGCCTATATAAATCCCAACTATCCTTCCTTTCTTCTAGCCCTCTTTACTAAGTACTTTTTGAGTGAGTCCATAATACCGTAAATTATAATGCTACATTTTCCCCCTCCGGGTCCCTGATTTTAGTGACCTTATTGGAACAATTAAAATGATGTAAAAGAGGGTAGAAGGTGATGGATAGTAGCACAAAATCAGGAAATTTATGCTCTCACATATACAAATTAAAAAAAAAAAATCCAAAAGACGATGGTCTACTTGGCTACTAAAACCTTTGACTCTACGATGGGTTCAAAGAGGTACAGTAGGCCATTTGGCCAAAGCAGATATTTTACATAAGGAAGTATATCATTTAGGAGTATTAGATGAAAAAAAATAAAAACAGCCTCTAAACAAGTAATGCATCATGCATTATTGCATTAGTGTTACAAATTTGATTTTATGAATATCCAGAAGAGGTCCTATATCAAGTAAGAGACAGATATGGAACCCACCATGCTTTTTTACTTTCTCCACTATGCTAAACTAGCCCACAGAAAATAAAAAAGAAATACATCAATTTTTAGATGACACAAACATTCAATTTTATATAATTTTTTAAAATGATAACATTTTAAATTGTTATCCACTGAAATAGCAATATACTCTAGGAACCATCTTGAACCTAATGCCTGGGCTATATTATATAGCAAAAAACTAAATCAAAACAAAGCAAAACAGAAACCAAACTGTTATTCTCTTTTAAGATACTACAGAGTATCACCTATAAAGCCCTTTCTTTCCTCTAGAAATGAGAAAACCAATCTGCTATCTTGTGAAATCTCACATAAATTTGGAACACAATGGTGTTTACCTTCCCTTCAGCAACTGTGGCCTTTGTTCTGGTAACTTATAATGCCTCAAAGGGGAAAACCCCAAACTGCCTTCTAAAACCAATAAGAAAATGTCTAGCCGATGAATGTACATTTAATGAGCAAGATAAAGTGCCAAGAAATAGTTAATGTTTCTTTCAGCCTCATACAAAGGAACATTCCTCCATTTTGGGGTCCTAGGACCCCAAAGCATTCACAGCAGATTACACAAGTAGCACTGGTTAGTGGAATGCTATTGTGCAAACAGTCTGTTGCTGAGCAGGGCAGAAATATGTTTACATGAAAATGGAATGATCTTTAGTGAGTCCTGAAAGAAAGTGATAATTTCCATAACCAGAAAAAGCCTTTTACATCATTCCATTTCAACTTGCCATAAAACCCTGAGTTACTTTGGCAATTGCTTATCCCTGCTTTGCTGGCTTTATATCATCCTCATCTCTGCAGCTTTTCATTTACTAAATAACAGGGTTTTTTGTTGTTGTTTTGCCTTGTTTTGAAGCCTTGGCAGAAAACACCACCATTCTGTACGCTTTCTCAGCACCCACCTTGCAATGTTCATACAATGAATTTTTGGTGCTCCTTTTATAAAAGCCCAGTTGGCATATCCTCCCAGTAAAACTGCTGAAACTGATCAGAGAAGACCCCATCAATAGTAACTGTAAACTATGCACTTCTCTTGCTTTATGGAGCTTTTCACTGTCCATACACTGTTTGTTATACTGGTAACAAAGCATAGAGCGGCTTTAGTGACAGAAGGGAGATAAAAAAACACTTACCTGCATTACAATAAGGAGGTCAAAGACCAAGATAAAAGAAGCCAGGAATGCTCTGGAAACTTCATCACTGGGCAAAAAACCCCGATTCAGCTTGTCCCAGCTGATCCAGTCAGTTGTAATGACAAGTACAACCACGGAAGTCAGAGTAAAGAGAACTGTCCTGCAAGGAACAAGATGTTCATTAAAGAACATTAGATGTAATCTAATTAGATGTAAACTGCCTGTTACCTGTGCTGTCTTCAATGCCTACCCTTTGCCAAGGCATATTCACCAAAATGAAGACGAACAAAGAAGTAAATGAAGTGCTTTCTTCCAAAAGCAATTTTAAAAAGGTATAATAGCATCCATCCCAAGATTTCCCCTTAAGAACATTAAGATAATGATTATAGAACAAATAATTAACAACAAAAATATTACAAATGGCCTTGGCTAGTGCAATACGTGTCCCAAAGAGAACACTGGTGTGTAGCTCTCATTACGTGTGCATCATTTACTGAGGGTAGTAGACATGCATATGTAAGAGCATAAGGCAGATGGTGAGTGATGAACAAGTCTTTGGATTCTATTATTGTCCTATAAAAGAGAGGGATAGTTAGACCAATCCCGTCATCATCCTCATAGCCTGAGGAGCTCCATGGAAGAACCACCTCTACACACCAACTGTGTAGCCATTTCTCCTCATAGGACTTGTGTCATAGATGGCTTGTGGCCTAGTGACCTGTCTAGGCCACACCATATTTGATTACCCATTCCTTGTTGTAAGACACTAGGGGCCTAACCTTATCTCTTATCTTTATAACCCCCATAAAATCTTACATAATTGTATCAGATGGAATTCAATGAATGTTTGCAGAAGTTGTAACAATTAAGCTTTTTATAAAAATCAAGAGTCCTTAGTCTTTCTTTTTTATTTTTTTTAAGATTTTATTTATTTATTTGATAGAGAGAGAGAGCACAAGCAGGGGGAACAGCAGGCAGAGGGAGAGGGAGAAGCAGGCTCCCTGCTGAGCAGAGAGCCTGACGTGGGGCTGGATCCCAGGACCCTGGGATGATGACCTGAGCCAACCTGAGCCGAAGGCAGATGCTTAACCAACTGAGCCACCCAGGCACCCCTTAAATTAGTCTTTAATATTGACATTCAAAGTAAATCTGAAATGTGGGCAGCAAAAATTTAATCTGCCAGAGAATTGTCTATAATGTAATTAAGCCTCTGCTTTCAGAGCTATATTGGTATCTGGATATCATTTTGAATTGTAAAAAGGAGTCTACAGCTATACCACCCTGAATGCACCTGATCTCCTTTGAATTGTAAAAAGGAAAATAAAAAAGAGTAATTATTTTGAAAATAATCTTAATCGAAAGAAAGAAAAGGAAGAAAAAGGGAAATAAAGAACAAAAAAGAGAAAAGAAAAGAAAAATGGAAAAAAATATATGGAGGTGAAATAATACCTTAGAAGAACACATACCCGTTTTGGCGATTAACAAACTGTTTTTGCCCTCTGATGTCTGATAATAATTGATACAAAAAAAGAATAATATGGACCATCCTAGACCACCTCTTTTCAGTTGAACAAAGCACAGATTTCTAAACCTATACACTGGGTTTGCTTTTCACAACTTCTTATTTGTAACAAGTTATACTTTGATAGAATGAATATAATGAACCCTCCCCTTAGATTTCCCACCCCCATAAACAGTAAAGATATATTTAAAATTTTTTTGAAAAACAAAAATTTCTGGGCGCCTGGGTGGCTCAGTTGGTTAAGCGACTGCCTTCGGCTCAGGTCATGATTCTGGAGTCCCGGGATCGAGTCCCGCATCGGGCTCCCTGCTCGGCAGGGAGTCTGCTTCTCCCTCTGACCCTCCTCCCTCTCATGCTCTCTGTCTCTCATTCTCTCTCTTGCAAATAAATAAAAAAATCTTAAAAAAAAAGAAAGAAAAATAAAAATTTCTAATAAAATTAACTTATGCAAACTATCAAAAGAATTTCACTCATGATCTCCAAAATATAAATTACAGATTGTCTCTATTACCATTTAGAATACCTTTGATCATTTCCAGAAATTTAAATGGGTTAATTAAGCATGGGAGAAATCTTAAATAACTATTATAATTCAGTAGAAAGAAATAGCAAATATTATATGGTCAGGCATAAGAATAATGGGATTTTAAACGAATCTCTCTCCAGGTTAAGTCAATTTGTTTGTATTTTTTGGTTTTTTCTCTTAAGCAAGTACAAAGTTTATATATTTCATGAAATAAGATATCCTTGGATATCATATTGGCCCAATAGTTATCAGTCAGAACAATGCTCCTTTTATCTTCCTTCTCCTCTATCTTTAATATGACTTTCACCCTTATCAGGATGATTCTCTATCACCAGAATTTCATCCAAGGGCCAGGCATTATGACAGGAATAAGTGCCAAAAAGGCATTCTAGTTGGATCTGCCTTTTTTTTTTTTTTTAATTCCAGTATAGCTACTATACAGGGTTATATTAGTTTCAGGTGTACATTATAATGATTCAACAATTCTATACATTATGCAGTGCTCATCATGATAAATGTCCTCTTAATCCCCTTCACCTATTTCATCCATCCCCCACCCATCTCCCCTCTGGTAACTATCAGTTTGTTCTCTATAGTTTATGGTCTATTTTTTGGTTTGTCTCTTTTTTATTTTATTTATTTGTTTTGTTTTTAAAATTCCACATGAGTGAAATCATATGGTATTTTTCTTATTCTGACTGACTTATTTCATTTAGCATTATACTCTCTATATCCATACATGCTGTTTCTAATGGCAAGGTTTCATTTTTTTATGACTATGTTCCAGTGTGTGTGTGTGTGTGTGTGTGTGTATCACCTCTGCTTTATCCATTCATCAATCAGTGGACACTTAGGTTGCTTCCTCAATTTGGCTATTATAAATAATGCTACAATAAACATAGAGATGCACGTATCTTTTGGAATTAGTGTTTTTGTATTCTTAGGGTAAATACCCAGTAATGTAATTACTGGATCGTATGGTAATTCTATTTTTAATTTTTTGAGGAAGGTCCATCCTGTTTTCCATGTTCACTGTACCAGTTTTCATTCCCACCAACAGTGAACCAGGGTTCCTTTGTCTCCATATCCTTACCAACATTTGTTGTTTCTTGAATTTTGATTTTAGCCATTCTGACAGGAATGAGGTGATATCCCACTGTGGTTTTGATTTGCATTTCCCTGATGATGAGTGATGTTGAGCATCTCTCCATGTGTCTGTTGGCCAGCTGGATGTCTTCTTTGGAAAAATGTCTGTTCATGTCTTCTGCCCATTTTTTAATTAGATTATTTGGGGTTTTTTGGTGTTGAATTGTATCAGTTCTTTATATGTTCTGGATACTAACCCTTTATCAGATATGTCATTTGCAAATATCTTCTCCCATTCAATAGGTTGTCTTTTAGTTTTGTTGATTGTTTCCTTTGTTGTGCAGAAGCTTTTTATTTTGATGTAGTCCCAATAGTATATTTTTGCTTTTGTTTTCTTTGCCTCAGGAGACATATCTAGAAAAATGTTGCTATAGTCAATGTCAGAGAAGTTACTGCCTGTGCGCTCTTCTGGAATTTTTATGGTTTCAGGTCTCACATGTAGGTCTTTAATCCATTTTGAGTTTATTTTTGTATATAGTGTAAGAAAGTGGTCCAGTTTCATTCTTTTGCATGTAGCTGTCCAGTTTTCCCAACACCATTTGTTGAAGAGACTGTCTTTTTCCCATTGCATATTCTTGCCTCCTTTGTCCAAAATTAATTGACCACATAATCTTGTGTTTATTTCTGGGCTTTCCATTCTGTTCCATTGATTTATGTGTCATTTTTGTGCCAGTACCATACTATTTTGATTACTATAGTGTTGTAGTGTATCTTGATATCTGGGATTGTGATACCTCCATTTTGTTCTTCTACAAGATTGTTTTGGCTATTTGGGGTCTTTTGTAGTTCCATACTAATTTTAGGATTCTTTGTTCTAGTTCTGTGAAAAATTCTGTTACTACTTTGATAGGGATTGCATTAAATCTGTAGATTGCCTTGGGTAGTGTGGCCATTTTAACAATATTTGTTTTTACAATCCATGAGCATGGACTATCTTTCTATTTCTTGTGTTCTCTTCAATTTCTTTTTTCAGTGTTTTATAGTTTTCAGAGTATAGGTCTTTGACTTCCTTGGTTAAGTTTATTCCTAGGTATTTTATTTTTTTGGTGCAATTGTAAATAAGATTTTCTTAATTTCCTTTTTGCCTCTTCACTGTTAGTATAAAAAATGGAAAAGATTTCTGTATATTGATTTTGTATCCTGTGAGCTTACTGAATTCATTTATCTGTTCTGGTAGTGTTTTGGTGGAGTTATTAGGGTTTTCTACATATAGTATCATGTCATCTGCAAATAGTGAAAGTTTTACTTTCTTTTTTTTTTTTTTAAAGATTTTATTTATTTATTTGATAGAGAGAGAGAG